GACCTTAACGAGAGGAGCGTAGCCCTCGCGACCACAGGTGCGATGTGGTTGAAACGTAAACTAGGGATGGGTTTAGGTACATCCGCGTGTTCATATCCCTGTAGCAAAAAAATGGGTATATATAAGTGAACAGCATGGACAACGCTTGGCGAATCTTGTCCCGCGAACCGAAGGCACCGAACGGTGTACTCACCGACGAGCTCGTTATGAAGTTCGATAGGTACCTCAACTGGGACCTGTTGTCAGTTCACTATGATTTCTCCATCGATATGCTACGTATTTACTTTCATCGTGTTGACTGGGGTCCTATTCTGAAGAGGCAAAAATTCAGTGAGAGCTTCCTTCGTGAGATGGCACCAAACTTTGAGCATGCGTGGTTTGCTGTCAGCAAGCACCAAATACTTTCCGAGTCGTTCATACACGACTACGCAAACAAAGTCGATTGGGAATACATTAAAAAATTCCAGATCGTTTCACAACAGTTTTTGGATGATCACAAAGCTTACATGGAAGAGGAGTTCGATGAGTAAGCCTATATATATATATACCATGTAATTAAAAAATAAATAAAAATAATTAGCTTATATTTTTTTTGTTCTTCTGTGTTATTAAGTCATTGTAGACAATGGAAGCACTGTACGAACGTTTCTCCACCGGAGTGGTGAAAAGCGAGTACCGAGCTGTTATGCCGATATCCGAGTTGAATTTCAACACACCAAACAATTACACAATCTTCAAACTCGATCACGGAGACACGTTTTACGACTCAGCAATTCAATATCACATCTGCGGTGAGGTAGTAAAAAAATCCGATGGTAAAGCATATGATGCGACTGCCACTATAGCCCTTATTGACAATTTCATACCATACCTATTTACAAGAATCGAACTGAAAAAACACAACACAACAATCGATGTGGTCGATCATCCGGGAATTACAAGCACTATCAAAAGTATTCTAAACTATCCTCAATCGATGAAACCCGCTTTGCAAAACTGTGGGTTCGCATCAAGATACTCGCTTGGTGGTGGCAAGTTCGAAGCAATTGGAACCTTAGCGCATCTCGGGTTAGGGTTCTTTGACCACATGCGATACCCCATGTACAAAGGTGGATTCGAGATTGTATTCACAAGAGCTGAAGATAACGATGCTCTATACCATTGGAAAGGAACCGGTACCGCAGCTACCGAACCTGAGGATGGCAAAGTGAAAATCACTTCCTTCGTTCTCAGAGTTCCCATAGTGGAATATACGTCAACTAGCAAAATCCAACTAATCGATGGTCTAACAAAACTTAGTGAAAAAGACGAGTTGGTCTACAACTATTATCAGTGGCAATGTATTGACAAAAAGGGTGTGTTCGGATCTACGTACACATTCGACATTACAAACGTTTATAGAAACGTATACAACCCTAGATTCGTAATCATGTGCTTTCAAACTAACCGCACGAATGATCAGAAAAAGAACCCGGCGCAATTTGACAGCGAAAATATAAAAAACTTTGCAGTTAAAATAAATGGTCAACGTTACCCTCAAGAACTACAAAACGCTGCAATCCTCGAGGGACGTTGGAGAGTGATTTACGAGCAATTCATGAGATATCGTAAGGTGAATTTCGATGACAGCTCAATGATCATTGACCCAAGCGAGTTTATTTCACACTACCCACTGTGTGTTGTCGACACACATCTTCATCCGATGAATACAGACCGTTCTAGAAGTGACATTCAAATAGAATTCGATTTCACAAACGCAATCGCATCACCATCGGCCGATTCAGGCACTACCGCATATGTCATCGTAGTCTCTGAAAACGCGTTTGCCTACGACATATCAAGGAACATAATCAAGGTGATGTAACTGCACATTTATATAAGTGAGAGACATGGCACAATTGGTAGATTTACTTAACGCGTGCCAAGCACCCAAATACACTAAAATCGAAGAGCTGCGACATGAGCATCCCTACAGAATAGTGGAGTTGCAGCGAGTCGTGACGAGATACGGTCCCTCGGTAACTGCTACTGTCGAAGAAGACCCTTGTGGCAATCTAAGAAAATTGTATCTCCCATGCAGGTACAACAACGTTTTGACAGACGTCATGATTAGAAACTACAACAACGGTGTCAATGAAAAACTTGCTTTGATACCCAAAAGCCATGGTCAGATCGAGTTTACAACAATAAACTAATATAACAGAAATAAAATACGCAAAATAACTGAAAAACACAAAAAAATATTTTTTCGCCTCCGAAGGATTGGCGTGGTCGGAACCACGTGCTGAGTCACTCAGAAGACACGTAAAAATCAACATGAAAACAATGAGTTTCAAATGGCGTGTCAGTATACATTGAGATCGAAATACTACATCTTCATACAAATCCTCTAGTGAAAACATGAGCACCGAATGATGCAATCGACGCCATTTTTGTGCAGTTGAGAACCTATTGGTGGTCCTATATAAAATGAGATTCAAAAGCTGTTGTCGTTTTCGATCTCAACCGTGAGATCCTATTATACGACAAGTATACCAAATGAGAACTGATTTAACGTTGCAATCGGCGTCATTTTTGTGCAGTTGAGAACCTATTGGTGGTCCTATATAAAATGAGATTCAAAAGCTATTGTCGTTTTCGATCTCAGCCGTGAGATCCTATTATACGACAAGTATACCAAATGAGAACTGATTTAACGTTCTTTATATCTACACAAAAAAAATTGTCATCCAAATCAGAGGATCAGTCTCTGTCTGTAAGATCATCCTCTGTTTACATGTGACGTCATGGACACACCTCCCTTCCCGACCTACCTCAACCCACGTGGTCTACACTCCTCCCTCCTCTGTCCTAGAACGTGAGTTTCAAATGGCGTGTCAGTATACATTGAGATCGAAATACTGCATCTTCATACAAATCCTCTAGTGAAAACATGAGCACCGAATGATGCAATCGGCGCCATTTTTGTGCAGTTGAGAACCTATTGGTGGTCCTATATAAAATGAGATTCAAAAGTTGTTGTCGTTTCTGTAAAGTCGTCCAAATCAGAGGATCAGTCTCTGCCTGTAAGGTTAGGTTAGGTTAGGCAAAGTGAGGTTACCTACCTCAACCCACGTGGTCTACACTCCTCCCTCCTCTGTCCTAGAACCCCCAAAATGACTACTACTAACGACATAAACCAATTAACAGGAAAACCAAACTGAGCATTGTGTTTTATGTAAGATTTATAGTAATTGCAGCTGTAAATAAATGGGTATTAAAAGTAAACCGTTACCTAGATGATCAGTGTTTCCCAATCACAGAATAGCCTTCTCCTCCAGTCGAATAGCATCCACCATATTCATTTCATACGTACTTACTTACTATTATTTATTATTGTGGCAACAGCATTGGTGCCAACTGCCAACTCACTGTTACAAATAAAACTAGATCAATAATAAACCAATGTTTCCTTTTCATTTCAACAACGTTTCTTCATGTAAGTAAATTTTCATAATTGTTTCCTATCTGTAGCTTATTTAATGTAAAATGGTGTTTGCCGTTGGTGTTCAATAAATAAATATACATCGATTATAGCCACGGCCGCCTCTAACTACAGGCCGCGGCCTGGTAGAACTGGCAAAGTCGCAAGTGGTGTTGTTTAGTGACAGGGTGACAGGCATCGAGGCATCCCATTTAAGCCGCGTTTACACCGGAGTTTCAAACAAAAACTTGCAAACTTTTATTGCAAACAGCAGTTGCAAACAGTAGTTTCAAATAAAAGTTTGCAATTTTTATTTCATGGTTTTTGTTTCCATGTTTCATGAAAATGTTTGAAATAATTTCAACCTTGATTGAAACATCATCGATTGAAAAAAAACTTCCACTTGGTTTTCCCATCGTCGACCCCCGATCCAGATCGACTTATTGACTTTTTAGATTCTCTGTTAAATTGAATTATGAGGTTCCTCGTCTTATTTTGGACCTCTGCCCTGCTTAAGTTAATTTCCCGTGACATGTCATTCCATGCATAGTTTTTCTTGCTTTTGTTTTTATAGTCAGAAATAGTTTGATTCCAAAGCACTTAATTTTCTCTGTAAAAGCTAAAAAATTAACTTTGATAATATTGTCATCTCTTCACTCCATCTCACTCAGTAGATCATCACTCACAACACGCACGAACGATACGAGATAAGTCACAACAAACACGAGGTAGCAGTCCAGACAGGGTTCACTGAGTCGAGACACAGGGTGTTGCGAGTGATCACGTGAGTGAGACTGGAGGTGGTAGCGAAGGGGATCGCACGAAGGGGATGGCGGAGAAATGTTTCTGTTTCGTGTTTCAACGGCTCTCGGCTCATAGTGACCGAAACTAGTGTTGCAAACAAAGAGTTTGCAACTCCCTTTGATCTTTATCAACTTCAAGTGGAAACAAAAATTTCTGTTACAAACACTGAAAAACTGTTTGCAACGGCGAAAAGTTTCGTCTGAAAATGGGCGTTTTTAGAGTTTTTAGAGATGTTTGCAATTTCTGTTTGCAACTCGTGTTTCAAACTCTGGTGTAAACGCAAATTTAGATAACATGGCAGACAGGTTACATCAGCTCATTAATTCGCACTTTATTTATTTAAATTTAAACTTATGAACATAAATTTATTAAAATATTGAAAATAAAACATACAGAATTGAAAACCGAAACAATATGAATTAAAAATCGATATCTGTACATTTTAAGCGGATTAAAATTATTTTCATAGTCCAGTAACCAATCTTTTTTTGATACAACAGTACAACCAACAGCTGACCAGCTGATTTACAGCCAAAGCTGCCAACGTATTTCGCGCGCATACGACCTTGTCTGCATGTTACGCGCTCACTATTTCGTGCCTTCACGTTGGAAATCTGGAGTGAGTCCCTAGTCCCTCCCTTGTGTCCCATCTCCCATCCCAGTCCCACCGGTGGGTGGTGAACGGTGAACCCAGTGCGAGTACAGTGAGTGAAATACCCAAATCCCAAATACCACACCTCCACCTCCCACAATGACCCACATTTACAACATCCAACCAGTCTAACCTTAGCAATTAATTAATTTCAAAATAATAACAAGTCTTCTTTTCAATTCTTTACTCGTTTACTCTTTCTTTCGTATACGAATACGATTTCAGCTCAGGAGTCAGGAGTGATAATGGATGAAGATATAGAAGAAACTAATGTCAGGAAAAATTCTGTTAAACGACATAAACCAATTAACAGGAAAACCAAACTGAGCATTGTGTTTGATGAAAAAGCAAGAAAGTAAGTACTGGAAGTTAAGTTAGGGTCTAAGCTTAGCTGGGTTATAATAGGCTATACAGTATTTACCTAAGATAATCTGTTTGTGAACATCATTTAGATACAGTTTCTTAACTGGGCTACGCTACTAACAATTTAAAATAACTTATCGATTCGATTAGTGAACCTCCATTCGCTTTTTGGTAAGTTATAGGCACGGGAACAGGGTACAGTTTCTTAACTGGGCTACGCTAATATCGATTGAAACTATCGATAAAATAAAACTATCATAACCTAACCTAACCAACCAAACTTGCTGATGGTGAAAAAATCGCATGAAGGTTTACTAATCGAATCGATAGTTTCAATCAATATTAGCATAGCCCAGTTAAGAAACTTTACCCTTTATTTGATAATAGATTACTAAAAATATCGACTATTAATCAATATTTTCAATTCGATAATTTCAATCAATAGCCTATATAAGCGTAGCCCAGATAAGAAACTGTAGCCTACCTATAGGCACTCTTTTCAGACCCAGACCTCAGCTTAAGCGTTCAAAAACTACTTAAAGAATTCTTTGGCGCCGAGGCCGCCATTTATTAATAATTACGCAGAGGATACGCGTCCGCTAACCTGGAGTGGATTAGGCATCTGGCAGTTAGGGGGCCTACTGTCATATCCTAACCTAACCAACCAAATTTGCTTAAACACCTGTACTTACTTAGTGGCAACACCTGGTACTTTAATAAAAACTTGCCTCCGTCCATCAACATAGAAAGACATCCAATCTATAGAAATGTGGTCGAATTAGATGTTCTGATGAAGATTTACTATGGGTGTTTCCATAGCATTTTAAGTTATGGAGTTGCATTTTGGAGAGGTTGTAGCGAGGCCAACAGAGTTTTTCTGTTACAAAAAAGAATTATAAGAATTATATGCAAAGTTCATTACCTGGAGCATTGTAGGCCTTTATTCCAAGATCTAAAAATATTGACTCTTTCATCTGTCGTAATTCTGGAATCTTCCTTGCTGGTTTTGAAATTTCCTGAAATATTTAAGAGGAACGAAGAAGTTCATAGTTACAACACAAGAGGCAAACACAACGTGCACCTTAAAAGCCATAGAACAACTTTGATCCAATCAGGAGTTCAAGGACTGGCCAGTAAAGTTTTTAATAGGTTACCGGTTGGATTAAGAAGTTGCTCTGTACCAACCGAATTCAAGAAAAAATTGAAGAATTATTTAATGGAAAAGGCCTATTACTCTATTGATGAATACCTGAGTGATGAAGATATTATATAGGCCTACTACTCTATATAAACCAAAATGACGACCACGGCTGAAATGCTACAAGTGGGATACCTTCAAGTATGCAAGTATGCAAATGTTTTGCCTTCAGAGGCTCCATTCAGCACCCCAGATTGTACAGAAAGTGAAAGTAATCAATTCTGTTCCAAGAAATAATTTATGGCAGTGGTTGACATTTGTATGGAACAGGGTGTCTCAGTCGCGTATTGACCAGGTCGGACCGGACAGAGCTTGTGCAGAGTGGTTGATGCGTAACGGTGCGCTCGTCCAGTGGAAGGGACATTCCAAGTTTGTCCCTCACTACGACAGCCTCCCCAAGGACGATGATCCTGGCAAGTACTATCTACAAGAGGTAGACGCTACAGACTCGTCAATCTCCCATCATGGATTCCCTTACTTCAGACATTGTGACCATGTGGACAAGATCAAATTGCAAGAATGTTTGTATTTGGACGACTCGGCCTTGAGTCAATTGCATTATTTAAAATCATCTCTTCACTCGCTCTCAATCATCAAGTGCTATGGGATATCTAAAAAAGGACTACTGTCTCTAGGCAAACTCCAGAATCTAAAAGAACTTCAGCTTTCTGGCCTGAAAAGCTTAGAAAGGAGAGTTGGATGTTTGCATTGAAGAGTTAAGCAAGCAGTTGCCCCATTGTGAGATTAAAGTGAGTGAAAATACTGCCAAAGAGAGCAGTAATGAAGAACAAACAGATAAATAGGGGGCAGTACAGCAACGGCTTTTGCAAAATATCATTAATAAGCTATACTTGTAACATGGACTTCATGGACTTCATAGCTACTCCGCAGTAACTTAATTGGGTTAACTAACAAGACTACAAGATCGCACCACTCATCCTACACTCATCTCCATTCATACTTGGCTTAAAATACCTACTTTGTATGGTCACCATTTCATTAAAAAGTACTGTATTAAAGTTAAATTTGTTGCTGATATATTTAATTAGGCCTAACTTGATAAAAGGAAGGCTCTCCCCCAAAAAGCTACTTAACAAAGTTGTAGTGTTGATGTCAAAGAACAGTTTTAAAACGTTTTTAGAACTTTATAAGTAACGTGTAGATGGAGGATGAGGATGAGCCCCTTGTTAGATGAGTTTCTGTCCGCCTTGCCAATAGTAAACGGCCAAGTTAAGTTTAGTGACTCAGTATAATTACTGTAGCCTAAATAATGTACATAGTCTTTATTTTTATCATTAATAAATATAACGCAATCTATCAGACTGGTTCTGTCAAAGATGAAGAATTCAAGTAAGTAAGTAAGTAGTAAGTAAGGTAAGGCTGTATCTGAACAAATCTGGAACAAACTTGAATATAAGCAGTTGAGAGTATTCATTACTGGTACCTAGTGGTTGGAATCACTGAATGAAAATAACCGAATCAATCAGTTATTTTGCTAAACAGAGAGGTTGAATTATTCTTACCAAAGTTTGTTAGTTAAATTTATTTTAAGATTTTTTATTTTTACCGTATCTTTTAGCGAATTTCCCATATAGGGAATAAGCTATTACCGTAGTACTCATGGTAAGACCTGGACCCGAGACCGATCTAATTTTTCATTTTGAGGTCCCTAGAGGCCAAAAACACCATCCGTTCAAATTAATATATATATATACTAGCTGACCCGGCGAACTTCGTATCGCCTAAGTTATAGGTTTCCCCTAAGACAGACCGATGGAAAGAAAGTACCGTTACGTTTAATTTTCAAGATGATCTCGTTCGCATCGCTCAATCACGTCCTGGTTGAAGTTCGTTCGCTACACTCACTCACCTTTGGGTTGGAGCTCGTTCGCTACGCTCACTCATCTTTAGGTTGGAGCTCGTTCGCTGCGCTCACTTGCCTTCAGGTTAGCTCGTTCGCTACGCTAACTCGCCTCCAGGTTGAAGTTCGTTCGCTACGCTCACTCACCTTTTGGTTGCAAATTAGCTGTTGTCATAAATGTAAAAGAAATAATAGTGCTGCACCCTGTTGGTAATCCTTGTAACTTTAATGCTATTGAACATCATAGAACAGAACCAACTTGTTTAATTGAAACAGCTGTTAAGATTCATTAATTCCATTTCTCATAAGGTTAACATGGGAAACTCCAGAGCCACTGGGGCGGAGCCCTTTTAAGAATTTCGAAACGGGAAATAGTTTACGTCCGATTCGCATACCTACAGAATTTACACACCAAATTTCATAACGATCGGTGAAGTCGTTCCGGAGGAGTTTGCAGACAAACACTGTGACACGAGAATTTTATATATTAGATATTTATATATATATATATATATGTGTCCGTTAGCGCGATAACTTGAGCAAAAATGATCCGATTTTGATGAAATTTGGTACAAACGTGTAAACCTACGTTTATTTGAACGAGTTTGCGATCCAGCATAATCGGACCATGGGAACGGGGGATTATGGGGGGTTTTATGGGGTAAAAATGGGTTTTTCCCATTTTTGAACCTAAAAACAAAAAAATTTGCGATTTCTTTCTAAAACGTTTTGTAGAGCTTAAAAAAAGAAATAATTTAGTATATTGAAGCACTGTTGTATGCCTAACGGTCATGGAGAAAATTCAAAAATTGTGTAATTAAAAATTCCCATGTTATTCTTAAGGAGAAAATGAAAATTGTTGTAGTTTACTTGTTTATGGGTATATATTGATCAAATTTGGAACATTTATTTATTTCATCCTATACTATAGATGTATGGTCAAAAAACACTTTTTACCTTCCCCGTAGCAGCAAACCTAAGCACTTGTTAAATCTAATGTTATTTAAATAGGGAATAATATGTTATTTATGGAAATATTTTAGTAAAATAGTAATCAGACAAGTTGAAATTCGCTTAGTCTGCAGGTTTGCTGCGGCGGGGGTATTTAATGTATATAACTTACCTATAAGTGATTACAAACTGATACATATTTTTAACCCTAAAATTGTTACACTAAAATATTACCGATACTGTTGCCATGTTGTAAGAGGGGCGATTAAGATCCTAATTCAACAAGTTATATCTAAGTTTGAAAGTAGTTGAAATAAACAAATCTCTAGAGTAGTAGGCATACATATATGCTACTGTAGGCATACATGCTGGCCTAATGCCATAGCTTAAAAGTTAACATGTTTTAGAGAATTCCTCACTGGATTTCGTAGAAGAAAGCTGGAGAGGAAGCGGAAAGCTCAAGAGCAGCTAAAAGAGTGGCTGAAAGAAGAAAAGAAACGCATTAAAAAAGAAGTAAGTAGGCCTACTTAAGTTATTTAGATCCCTGTTTTTAACTTTATAACAGATCTTACCCTACACTCTATGTTTACTTGTATTACCAATTCATCACTCAAATTAACTAAGTGGTGGTTCACGAGTTGGGGGTTTCATGGCCCGCCGTTATTGTTGATCTCGGCCAATTTTAACCAATGGCCAAAAAATGGGTTCACGACATAGAGCGTTAACCGAGATCAAGCCTAGCCAAGACCAACGCTGGCTGTTGCTCAACAGCAGGGATTTAACGGGGAACTTTCGTTATAAGGTTGGCAACAGCCACATGGGCTACCTGCCGGGCCGCTGCTCGCGGTCAACAAGCCTCAAAACAAAAGGATGACCAGGGTTGGTACGGTCAGGGAAAACCTGGAAACGTCAGGGAATTTAGTTGGTCTGGAAATTCTCTTGAAAGGCTACATTTTTTACAGATATGCTACATTTTGCATCTACGCCTCAATACTTGGTCAAAAACATCGAGGTTTGACGAAAATATTGATGTAACAAAAACATCGGGAACCTACCATCGATATAAAAAACATCGAACATCGACAGACATTCCGTCATCACCCTCTGATTACTGGCTTTAATTGAACGCACCGAGCTCCCAGTGTTTCTACACGACCAAAAGAATATAATCCCGGTCACTGGGTTAAGAAATCCCGATTAATCCCTTAAGATTTTTGATGTAAAATTCTGAGTGTTAAATTAGACATATTGTGTTTAAATAGTTGTTTTATAACATTGCTATTATATTTTGTTAAGGTAATTTTTTCGATTGGGGTTAGTTTTTCACTAAAATAAAGCATAGTAAATAAAAACGGACGTCATAGCCAAAACTCCTGTTTTATCCCACATCCCCTTCAAATCCCGCTCATCATGCTCTAAAAATCCTGTTTTCAGGATAATAATCCCACGTATGGAAACACTGCTAGTACCGCGATGCACGGAAGGATAGGCCTACATTCATCGTTTCAATTTCAATACGATACTGAATACAATTCTTCATTGAATTTATACCAATACTGATTCAACCTTTAATAAAATAAAAAAAACTGCACTTGTAGGAGTTAATAAAAAAAAATTTATCCTGTTAGTTGAAACATTTAATAGTTTAGTTTGGTACTACTTTTTGTCTCCGGTACAAGCATGGTAGTTATTTTTCCAATATCACATGTTTCTTCCGATATAAGCCGATGATATCGCAAGCAAAATATCGATATATATCAGTATCAGAAGCACCGTATCGTCTATCTGCTAGTGTCAAGTCAAGGCCAAGTAGAACATAAAGTAAAAGTCAATCAGAATCAGAAATCAGAAAATCTTTTTGTTTCATATTTATTTACAAGATGTTAAAGTGTGAGGTTAAGTTAGTTGGTACTCTTAATTTTCCAGATTCCAGATGTTTAATTCTTTCCTTATTGGTTTTATGAGTAAACTATTTAGGCCTACATTTTTTCTAATAATTCTTGATTCTGACTATTCGATATCGTCTTACGGTATACCTGGAAAAAGTATAATATCAATCTGGAAAACCTGGAAAAGTCAGGGAATTTCATTTTCCAAAATCAGTGCCAACCCTGATTGCTGCATTAATTTTTTTCTTTAGGCTACTTAAAAACAATCCATAACTCCAAAATTATAAACTTAATGGAAGTAGGCTACATAAAGGTTTAAGTAACATAGGTGTAGCAGCATATGGTGAAGTAGCATAAGGGTTGGTGTAGTAATCCATACTGAGCCGTGACTACTTTCCACTGGCGAATGTCACGACTCATAATCAACGGTCAAATTGTTTTTTGTATAGTAGGTTAGTTTGTTAGTTTGTGTTTCAACTTTTACTGTTCCAACGACCCTCAATGAGGCTGTGCGTCAACTTCTTATTACTCCCACCGCCAGGTGTCATAGGTTGAGTGGCTACTTTTGGCTCCGGTTCGACGAAAAATTATTCCGTTCTGATCTCTTATTTTTGGCATGTTTTCTATGTTTCATTTGCCTAAATTCATCAACGTGAAGTTTTTCTCAAATATGGAGTAAAGCTAGGTTGCCTCTGGCACCTTGATGGGGCCCGTGAGGAGGAAAATGGATTGGCTCACCTCAGCCTTGGCGGAGAGGAATGTTCCAACTAGGCTGGCGCTGGATTATGGCCCCCTCTCCGCCCTGATTTGTCTCCCCTCCGGTGCTGTCTGCCCGAAAGTAGTGACATACCATACAAGTTACCATTGTTGTTGTTGTTATATTTTTATAGATTTATTTAAAAAAAAAAGAAAGAGACTATTACAGTATTAGTTGTTATAGGCCTACAAAGTTATATTTATTGTTATCTGTTTAAAATGTTATTCTACAGTCTATTAGCTTACTTGTTGACATTTTTAAATTTTATAATTTTATCAAATATTCATATTTTAAATTCATTCTGATTTTGGGGCCCCTAGATGTTAAATTTGTTACCAGATTAAAATGGATTTTTTGAAAGAACATAAATATATATTTTTATTGTTATAAATTTGTTAATTTAAAAATAATTTTTGAAAGGTAAAAGCTAGCCTAGTAAGGTCTTATTTAGAAATTAGCCCATTTGATGATTAAAGAAATTACTGTAAGTTAGTAGGCTAGATGGGTAACAAAATCATATACATTTTTTTTTTCAGAGTTATGTATTCTTGTTATTGTGTTGTTATGTTTATTTAAATTGTTTAATACAGCTTGTTTCTCTCAAATGGTGCGTTGTTCACTTGAACCTCCATCCATGGCTCTCATCTTGTTTGGTAGTTTTTTGTGAGCCACTTCTCGGGCCTGCGCATGGAATCACGCTTCCAAGTCGTTGGCCTGGGTGCGGGTACGGGGGGCGCGGATACGGGTGGCGCGGTTCAATACAATTTGGTAAAATTAAAAAAAATGGTATAAGTATTGAAGATTGATTTTTCAGGTATTAGTATGGAGAATCGATAAATTTTGGTATAGAGACAGAATGCTTTTTTTATGATATATTTATAACTGTAGGTTTATGAACTGGTTTTAAATTTTTGGATTGTTTAATCAGAGTAATATTTAAATATTGTACACTGGTGTCAGGCAGAATTACAGTAATCACAAATGTTAACCTTTAAGTGAGCAAGATTTTTTCAATAACTAAAATAGAATTGCGGGATTTGGTGTGATAACGCATTTTGCATCACTTATCATCGGTCAGGTTGTCGTCAGTTGACCTTGACGTTGACGGCGATGGACAAGTATGTCCCCAATTTAACAAAGTAGTGTGGTAAGTTTTGCAAAAATTTTAAATACCAAATTCAGTGACAACGGGTTCTATGTTTACCCCGGACAAATATTGTGGGTTGGTGTTTTAAGCTGGTCACAAAAAGAACTGTTTTACAAATTAGAAATGTTTAAATATTTTAATTATGTTACTTTGTGACCGACAGGCTCGAGAAGAAATTAAGAAGCTGGTGTTGACCAATCGCCCGATTCCTGAGCTCGAGCATTTGCATGAAGAAGAATATGATTTACCAGATCATACAGTGAGTGTAGTGGAGTTGAATCCTGTGGATTTGGAGAGCAAAAACAACTGGATAGGGTCAAACAGAGTAAGTTTTATAGTTTATTTTTCTATGCCAAATTGTATTTATATATATTTTTTTTTTTTTTTTAGTTAGGCTATTTTAAATTCTGTTGAATTGAAGATTCCTTCTTCTCAGCATTGTTTACTAAATTAATTGTAGTAGCCTCAGATGATTTGGAACAATGACAAGTAGGTAATGTAAAAAAAACATTTAGCCGAAAATGATAAATGATTTTTTCCTGGTCGATTTTAAATGTTCATTTTTATTCTTAAACCTCCATCTCTTAAACTTGTACCCTTTTTTGTCTTACAAAATAAAAAGAGCCACTTACCACGTTTCAAATACCGGGTTTTTTCTGAATTTATCTATAGGCTAGAACTGTAAAAAATCCTCTTTAAAACGTTTATTATTGTTATGCTCAATCAGACAAACTATGTAAGCGTTTAAGAAACTTAAATAATAGGAATTTAACATTAACTGTGTTAGCCTGCTATGCCAACATTTATCCTTGAAGCCTAGGCCCTGTGTTCTATAAGTATCTCTTTTTTACTTATATTTTACTTATATGAAATCATGTTCAGGTCCAATATGAAACAGACAAAGAAGATGAATCAGAAAAAGAAGATGATGAAAAGGAAAAAGAAAGCAGTGAGTTGCTTGGAATGGAGCTGAAATCAGAAAAAGATGTGAGAAAAGCAATAAAACACAAAGCTACAAAACAAGTGCAGAAGAGTAAAGCTTTCCAAACCAAACAGCGGTTAGAGAAGAAGAAACAGATTAAGAAATCACATAAAAATAAACATCAGAGGGTAAAAACTAGAATGAAGAAAGAGAAGTTTAAAGGTCACAAAAAAAGATAAATTTAAATAAATTTGATTGTTGCAAAGTTTTTATGTTTTACTTTCCTTACTAAGAATACATTTTTAGCGAATTTTCCATATAGGGAATAAGCTATTACCGTAGTACTCACGGTAAGACCTGGACCCGGGACAATTTTTTTTTTCGTTTTGAGGTCCCTAGAGGCCAAAAACACCATCCGTTCAAATTCATATATATATATATTTATATATATATACTAGCTGACCCGGCGAACTTCATATCGCCTAAGTTATAGGTTTCCCCTAAGACAGACCGATGGAAAGAAAGTACCGTCACGTTTAATTTTCAAGATGATCTCGTTCGCATCGCTCAATCACGTCCTGGTTGAAGTTCGTTCGCTACGCTCACTCACCTTTGGGTTGGAGCTCGTTCGCTACGCTCACTCACCTTTAGGTTGGAGCTCGTTCGCTGCGCTCACTTGCCTTCAGGTTAGCTCGTTCGCTACGCTCACTCGCCTCCAGGTTGAAGTTCGTTCGCTACGCTCACTCACCTTTTGGTTGCAAATTAGCTGTTGTCATAAATGTAAAAGAAATAATAGTGCTGCACCCTGTTGGTAATCCTTGTAACTTTAATGCTATTGAACATCATAGAACAGAACCAACTTGTTTAATTGAAACAGCTGTTAAGATTCATTAATTCCATTTCTCATAAGGTTAACATGGGAAACTCCAGAGCCACTGGGGCGGAGCCCTTTTAAGAATTTCGAAACGGGAAATAGTTTACGTCCGATTCGCATACCTACAGAATTTACACACCAAATTTCATAACGATCGGTGAAGTCGTTCCGGAGGAGTTTGCAGACAAACACTGTCCAACCTAAAGGTGAATGAGCGTAGCGAACAAACTTCAACCAGGACGTGATTGAGCCATGCGAACGAGATAATCTTGAAAATTAAGAAGTTTAACGGGGCAAAGCCCGCGGGTTACAGCTAGTATTTATATATATATGTGTCCGTTAGCGCGATAACTCGAGCAAAAATGATCTGATTTTGATGAAATTTGGTACAAACGTGTAAACCTAAGTTTATTCGAACGAGTTCGCGAACTAGCATGATCGGACCATGGGAACGGGGGTTTATGAGGGCTTTTATGGGGTAAAAATGGGTTTTTCCCATTTTTGACTCAAAAAACATAAAATTTTGCAATTTCTTTCTAAACTATTTTGTAGAGCTTAAAAAAACAAATTATTTAGTATATTGAAGCGTTATAATGTGCCTAATGGTTACGGAGAAAATTCCAAAAAATTTTAAATTTAAAATTCCCATGTTATTCTTATGGAGAATAAGTAAACTGTTGTAGTTTGATTGTTTATAAACATATTTTGCCCAAATTTGGAAAATGTTTTTATTTCTTACTAACTATTAACATTTTACATAAAAACACTTTTACCCTCCCTGTTGCAGCAAACCTAAGTATGTGTAAAACTGATTCTATTTAAATAGGGAATAAATGTGATATTTTTAAGGAGACATTTTAGTGTAAATCCATTCAGGGAAATGGAAATTCGCTTAGTCTGCAGTTTTGCTGCGGCGGGGGTATTATAAAGTTAGCAGAGATAGGATACATACTACATCACTTGTATGGTAGGTCAGTAGCCAGTTATTATTTTGTATGATTAGTTTATTTGAGCAATTTTCCTGCTAATGAGTTTGTAAAATCTGAATCCAAAGTTATAATATCTAACACAACTAGACCTGTTTGTTAGAAGATAATTGATCCTATACACTAAATTTTCAAAAACACAGTGGCGGACTTACCATAAAGCACAATAGGCACCTGCCTAGGGGCGCCCGTCCGCGGCAGGTGGCAGGCGGCTTATTAGCGGGCGACGGGTAGCAGGGGCGTAGTGGTTAGCGGTGAAGTAGAGCGGCAAAAGCAGAGTTTATTCTTGTACTTATTAATGTGTAACATATGACAGTACAATAAATAACTACATAGATTCGTGGAATCTACTCAGGTAATCGTGTTTTGAGTACAATCCTAAATATAAAATAAATAAAGGGCCTATCTGTTCCTTTAAATTTGAAGTTAAACGTTACATTGTATACACAACTCATATAAAGAGGCGACAATACGGTTATATTATTAATAAAATTACTGTTAGCTGTTTTGAATTATCTTTCAGGCCAAGTTAGAGTGTAGTGTATTTTGTGTGATATGCGTGTGCTAGGAGGCTAGGTAAGGCCCCCACGTGAGGTATGGTGTTAGATATGTAATTATTCTAAATTCCCATGATTGTTTTCAGGTCCTGTAGTCAAAATTGTTCATGTTATTTCACGTGTCATTTTTCTAATATTAATATTTTGCTCAATGTTCAATTCACATTGTGTCCGGTTGTCTGATCAATAATTCTTGCATACATCCAATGGATAATAGTATTTATGTGTTACAATTAATATTAATAATCATCAAAGCTGGCTCTTTGAGCCTGTGATATGCGGTAAATTGTCTCCTAGGGTTAAATAAACAAGTCCAGTTGTCGTTTCCAACACCAACGGTTCGGTTATGGTAATCATTTACACGACCAAATCACCTAAATGTAGCTGAAATTCGCCACAGATGTATATTACCATAGACAAAAAGAATTAAATATAGATTAACAGCCATGCAGTGGTTACCATAGGTTATGGCGCACAATGCTGGAAGTGCCGTGAAGTTACGTAGCGCATAGGCCGTAACTACATGGCACTCCCAGCGGTGTGCGCCAGAACCTTAGTAAGTGCAGCACAGCTGACGGTCTATATTTAATTCCTTTTTTCTATGATATTACAGACAGACAGACACAGACTTAGCTCATATTAGAGTATAGGATAGGATAGGATTACATTGAGGTAGGCCTATAAATAATGCCCTTTCGCTGATAGAAAACTAGTTTTATTTTTTATTTTTTTAACAGGAAAATATAAGATCCATCACAATTATATTTTATATAATTGTTGTATTGTTTGGCTAATATTATTTCAGGGTGTCTACTAGTCGGGAATTCCGGGAAAATCGGGAAAAAGTCGGGGATTTTGAAAGGTCGGGAAAAGTCGTGAAAAAGTAATGAATTTCGGCCGAAGGTCGAGAATAATCTAACCTTTTAAAATTAGGGATGAACGGGTCCCAAAAATTTAATTCCCAAACATTATTGAGTCAGTATTCATATACATTATTGAATCAGTATCCAAATACGTTTTTGAATCAGTATCCATATACGTTATTGAATCAGTATCCATAAATACGTTTTTGAACCAGTATCCATAATTTATTGAATCAGAATACGGTATTGAATCAGTATGCATATACGTTTTTGAATCAGTATCCATACGTTATTGAATCAGTATCCAAATACGTTATTGAATCAGTATCCAAATACGTTTTTGAATCAGTATCCAAATACGTTTTAATCAGTAGTCCTATCCATACGATATTGAATCAGTATTCAAATACGTTATTGAATCAGTATCCAAATACATTTTAATCAGTAGTCCTATCCATACGATATTGAATCAGTATTCAAATACGTTATTGAATCAGTATCCATAAATACGTTTTTGAACCAGTATCCATAATTTATTGAATCAGAATACGGTATTGAATCAGTATGCATATACGTTTTTGAATCAGTATCCATACGTTATTGAATCAGTATCCAAATACGTTATTGAATCAGTATCCAAATACGTTTTTGAATCAGTATCCAAATACAATTTAATCAGTAGTCCTATCCATACGATATTGAATCAGTATTCAAATACGTTATTGAATCAGTATACAAATACGTTTTTGAATCAGTATCCATATACGTTATTGAATCTTCATCCAAATACGTTTTTGAATCAGTGTCTCGTTATTGAATCAGTATCCATAAACGTAGTTGACTGTTACATTGATACTGTTACTTTGACTATCAGTATCCATATAACATATTGACACTATTAAATTATTGACATTAATTTATATAAGCTATTCACTGAGACATTGCTTAGCCATACAAGTTATTACCATCCAAGTACATGGCATACACTGAGCCATTGCTTAGCCATACAAGAAATTATGTATACCTTGTAGGTCTGATTCTATCCTCTTATTTTATCAATGTAAACCAAATGAAAGATTCAGTATAAATCTTGCAAAGGTTTTTGTTTGTTTACACCAAAACATATCTTTATATTTATAAAATCAATAAAATAAAATAGGTATCATGCTGAACAACATGATGCTGCAAGTAAAAATTATGAAATAGGCAAGAAGCTCACTGATATTTCCAGAAATACTGTTTCTTCTAATGCATGAAAACAAATATTTCATTCCATTGACAAGTATGAGTAGAAAAATGCCGCGTTGCTTCGAATCGAGTTAGGCTACATTAAAATTTGTTGCTGCTTCACACACCCCAACATTTGATATGGGATTTTTTTGGCACGTGATTTGTTTCGATTGTCAGTAATTTAGCTTTGTTGCGAGTGACAACATATGTTGACGAAGGTACCCGTGACCGCGAGACGGAAAAAGGTGTAGTAACATGGAGAATAGACCGAGTTTTTGGTCGGGATTTAAATAAAAATGGTAATGAAAAGTCGGGAAAAAGTCGGGAATTCCATTTGAGAAATCTGGTAGACACCCTGTATTTGTCTTTTTGGTTTTTATTGATTTCATAAAAAATACTTATTACAACTTGTATTCATTATTATTGATTAAAGTAACAGTAGGCCTACTGAAGATTATAGTTACCTCAATATAGAGCTGATATAAAATATTTCACATTGATTATGATTTGAGTTGTTTTGCTTTTGTTATTTCTGTGTAAAAATTGCTAAGCAAGATTATAAAAAATAACCTTTTACGGGAGCCTGTTTTGGGATTTCTCTTACTTAATTACAACCATAGTAAACCGACAATTAAAAATTAAGTGTAACATATATTGTCCATTTTGTATTATGACACATGGTTTACCAAATCAAATCTACTAACCTTTGATAAAAAACGGTGAAGTACAAAAAACACAATAATAAATACAAACATTAAAAAGCGAATCTAGCTTGACTATAAAGACATAATAATTGTTATAAGAGATTAGTGTTTAATTAAGTTATAATTTCAGCAAGTTAGAAAAAAATAACAATGTAAGTATACTTATTCCTCTTCAAAAACCATTGACTACAAAATACTATGACTAAATTATGAATAATTTAATATTCATATTACATTTTTCATATGAAACAATGTAAAAATACATTTTAAACACATCAAACAACAAATAGTTCTATCTACAAAACCAAGATATCATTAGCCAACAAAAATATATATTTTATGGAATGGTAGGAGCTTACATTAAAATACCCCCGCCGCAGCAAACCTGCCGACTAAGCGAATTTCCAGTTGTCTGAATTGATTTTCAATTAAATGTAACCTATTTAATTAATATCGGACAAAAATTACTCAAGTTATCGTGTTCACGGACACACATATATATCAGTCCCTGGCCTAGGTCTTACCTACCACCTACGGTAATAGCTACTTCCCTATATGGAAATTCGCTAAAATGATTTTAAAATAAGAAGAGAAGTATATTTTCACAGTCATAAGATCAATCATTATTATGACTAAAGCTTCAAATAGTTCCAGTTAAACATATTAACAACCTTAAAACTAAATAACATTGTTAAAAGAATAACATTTGATAAAGTTTAAAATAATAAAAGAACACAGTAAAACTAAATCTGCAAACATGCGTATGAATATAAAAGAGTTATGATGTATAGTTTTATGGTATATCTAATTACTTAAACATGACATGAAAAATATAAATTCTTATTACTACAGGTTCATACAAATGTATTGTAAAAAGCTTTCAGAAAATAAAGCGTTGTTTGTTAATGTAAACTTAACTACATTAATTGGAGTTAATAACGCAACAATAATGGCAGCCATAACTGACCCTAAAAATACACATAGCAAAAGGAGGAGGGTTAAGTTATTTCAAACGTTTAATCTTTTCACGCTCTAGGCAATTATAGGTTATGGTACTTTTTTCTTTGGTTATGACTTATAAATGCTACTAACATTTTACTATGAAACAATGACTCTTCTACCATGGCAATTTGCACATCTAAAATGACAAATTAACAAGAACTCCTCTCCCGTGTTTTATAAAAAATCATAGGCATGGGTGTATGGGATTCAAAGAATTGTTTGAATGACAGTTTGTTCCCTCAGTTTTGAAGTTACGTAAGAAAAACAGTTTATTCATCATTGCCTCCAGGATTGTTAATTGACAATATAAATAGGTTAACATACCTTACAGCATCAATCCTATGATTCTTTGGCGACTAGTTTGGAAACTTCAATGAAACTGCTGATGTTTCTAAACTACTCACCATAGACTATATTTAGGATTGATGACGTTAGGTATGTTAATCTATTTATATTGAATATAAACAGATTGACCCAAAACCAGAAGGCCTACTATTTCTTACCTTTAAATTTGCTCAATGGAATTTAATATTTTTTATAAAAGATTTATTCAATCTTTTTATAGACCAGTGATAAAATTGGTTTCTCTTGGGTATAGCAAGTCTTCCAATTAGAGAGCAAAACTTTTGGTCCAGATAAATTTCTGGCCTTAAAAAATAGTTTTTAAGGTATATAGATATAGATCTCTTTCTGCATTGGAGATTCCTTTATTAAAGAGATTTGAAATAAGTTAAACAAGGAAATATATTAATTAAAAGTTAAAATATTACTTTGAAAAGGGAGGTGTTTAAACTAAACAAAAATAGAGGATACTATATGGAAAGAATGAAAGGAATCTCAACTGAGAAAATGAGACGATCACAGAGAAAACCTGAGACTGAATCTATAGATAAACATTAAAAATACCTTTTGACTTACACAGTAAATAAAAGCTACAAAACTACTTGACCATATAGCTGGATTAGAACGTAGATACATTTTCACTCCCTGATCAGTGATCATGTCTAGTATGAAACTTAAAACTTACCTCCGACTTAACTAGCCTACATAAACCTTTTGAAACAAACACTGATTACTTAGAAGTCACAGGCGCTCTGGAAGGTTTAAGAACTGTCAGTCCAATAGCGTACATCACTAAAGTCAAGATGTTGGGTAGGAAATAGATAGAACTCCAGTAACGGAGACAGATGTCGATGCGGAGCAAGGAGAAAGCCATCGACCAATAGGAGAAGTGGAGCATCTTCCACCAATAGCGCAAGAACACCCATGGGTAATGGAGCTGAAACATGCAAACAAACATAAGGATGAGGCGTAGGTTCTAAGGGTTATATTAGAACAGCAGGTTAGAACCTGAATGGGAAAGAGTCCAATCTGGCACAATAAAAAATGCCCTTTTTTAAACCCATTTTTAAAATAAAAAGTATATTTTTAATGTTGAGTGTCCAATCGGAATGGACTCTTCCTCATTAAGGTTAGCCTGCTATATCCTAACAAAACAGAAAAAAAAACTATAAGATATTGAAAAAAAGAAATATTTTAGTTCCTGAATAAAAAGATTGGTGAATAAAAATTCCCTCAAAGAACAAGTTTGAAATCTTTGAAAAAAACATTGAAATATCATCAAAGGGGACTTGTTTGTAAGTTGCATATTTTTAGATTGGCGAACACAAAAAATTTGTAAAACGCTAGGGACCTGAAGGAAGTGACCTTTCTATAGTTACCATTTGTTATTCCACTAGATCATAAGCTTTAAAACAACATATAAATTGTAACAATCGGTTAAGTAGGACAAATGGAAAAGGGATGTAACAGAGAAACCCCTTATGTTAAGTATATAGATTAAAATGGATAGTTTTGAAAATCCAACCTTCAATTCCTTGTCAGTAATGAATGGATTTCAATTGTGGGCATTTTTATGCCTTTTACTATCACTGGTTGAAATATGTCAAACACTTACCAATGGGGGGAGGGAGTTGTTCTTGAATGCCCTGTAAAACATGTCCTCCGCAGGCAAGTAGAACGGGACGGAGCATAGACAGAGATAGTAACCAGCGTACACTCCATGCCACAAGCTGGAAACTACGAATGTCACAGGCATCCTGCCAACATAACAAAATAATCAGTATACCAGAATCTACTAACTCTTCATTATGATGTTATAATGCCATGCTACCTGCCTTGTGTTCCATGTCATTCAAATAGGTGTCATCATAAAATTCAGTGCAAAGAGGGTTCTACCCGGTTAATTCAAGATAGCGGCTTAACATGCTAATGTTCCTGAATATGCCTCTACGGTACAAGCTATCAACATTCTAAAACTAATTTGTTTCCAATGATTGTGTGCTTATTGTGCTCTTAACATATCAAAGCTTACAGTGGGTGAAGCAAAAATAATTTTTAACTATTGTTTAGAAGTTAAAATTGATGTAAAAGAGACTAATTTACGGATTTTCAAAATGATTTTGTAAATACTTAAAGAAACAATTAGGTAAAGATTCAGTTCAGCCAGTGCATATTTTGGATCTTTTTGAATATTTTACAGTTTATTTCAACTCGATAAACATTAACACATTCGCTGCTGAAAACCTTTAAACAGGCGCTCGCCAATGGCGGCGAGGCCCGGGCGGAGCCCCGACGCGCTCACTGAATCAGCGATCGCTATTGGTATTGAAATATCTCAGTACGACGAATCACAAAAGAGCAGTGGTGATTGTTCTGCGTTACCCCGATAGTGGACTTAGTTCACTGAAACGCCCAAAGGTAGCAGCACTGCCTGGATCATAATAACCAGAGTCTTTGTAATATGGCTCGAATAGACAAAATCTCCAAAAACGGGACAAAAGCATTACCAGACGGGATTTTACGGGCAATTTTAGTACCAACCTACATCAGAATAAAGCTTACATTCTAAGCTACAGTCTGGTAACGATTACAACGTTCCCCGACAATGGCTGAGCTCACATTTGAACAAGGTTGTTTGCATTGATGAAGGACGACATTTCCCGTCCCGCGCCAGCGGCGCAGTGAACGTGTTAATGGAGGTTCTTTTTTTGTAGGACCATGTTTACGCGTAAACAGCTGGCGGGTGGAACAACCTTTAATCTATGATCGATTCAAACCACCAGTGGCTTTTCTGCTGACTTTTCTCATGATCTTGTTACAGTACTGTAACTGGTATGTACTTGGCGAGGACACTGTATTGGACCAACACCAACTAAACTGCTGAATAGATGAAATCACATTTTATTTTTTTAAACATGTAAAAGCTTAACTTTAAAAGTAAGTAAAGTTTTTAAATTGTGCTTAGCAAACTGGAATGAATATAAAACATAGGATGAACGAAGTCAGTAGCTTTTCATGGTTTGATACCGGACCCAGCTGTCCTTGATCATTTAGCTATAAAGACCTCGCTAAAGCAGGCCGCGATATCACAGAAAACGTACTACTATAACCCAGAATGCCAACCGCATGGTAAAAAGCATTAAGCGTTTTGAGAGAGCTTTGCCTGTCAATCCGTAGGCAGCGCCACCAGCGTTGCTATGCTGGTGCATGGCAACGCTGGTGGCGCTGCCTACGGATTGACAGGCAAAGTTCTCTCAAAACGCTTAATGCTTTTTACCATGCGGTTGGCATTCTGGGTTATAGTAGTATGTTTTCTGTGGTGATATGCATGTAATGCGCCATGGCCTGGGAGAATATTGCGCCCCTCTTACATTGTACCTAGTGGTGGAATTTTCCTCTTCCTTGCCCCCCCCCCCCTAGAAGGAAACTGAAATCTTCTTGCGCATCCCGGCTCATTTGTTTAAAGCAGTCCTGTGCTAAAGAACCACCTGATGTCAAGTTGTGTTTACTTGTGTAGGCTAGTAGTAGGTAGGTAGGTTACCTGCCTCAGTTAGTGTATTTCAAGTTAACTGAAGCAACCTGCCTGCCTACTGATCTCGTGTACCGTGTCTTTAGTCAGTAACAAAGCTGTCATCTTATCCATTAAACATTCATCTTTCAGTGATTTTCACTTTGTACAAATCTACTCTAAACCAAAACTAACCTGTAAGCCTTCACGGGGAATCTCTTGTAGACGTAAGTGGCCAGCCAATACTGAATGGTCATGTTCCAGCACTTCATGGAAGATCTGATGGTTGGCTGGAAGTCTGATCCCCACGAGTCAATGTTATAAATAGCAGCAAAGCTGTACTTCTCCGTCTTTGCTTGAGAACTGTTCAATCCTGCACCCATCCTGAGAAAAAAGAAAGTTTATTCAACATTTAAAACTAGGGTTTGCTATAGTAGTCTTGTAACATTACAGATGAGCATCAATAGCCGATGTTTTTGAAACATCAAATCAGTGGAGCGAGAGTGAGATAACTATCACGTACATTCTTGAGGTGCTTGTTCTAAATGCGGCAAAAATAAATTCATTTGTATCAAACTCTAGCTGTACCCGCGGGCTTTGCCCCGTTTAACTTCATAAGTATTTGCATGGCTCAATCACGTCCTGGTTGAAGTTCGTTTGCTGCGCTCACTCACCTTTAGGAGATGAAAAACTCAGAATGAAATTTAAAAAATCAATTAGTGGTTTTTGTTTTGTGCTGAGACATCAATGTTTACCAGACGATGTTATCGGTATATCGATGGCCTTGACCTATCATCGGTGCTCATCTCCACTTTGGTGTAGGAAAGACAAGATTGATCACAGACATAAATGCAAATAATTTTAGGATATGGAACACATTTATTTGATTTTTGTTTCTTGAATCAATGAGTAACTATTTTGTACCCTAAACTAAAAGGAACACACTGTTACAGATATTTTTCTGTCAAAACAATTTAATTAAGTTCAATCTGGAGATCTAGATATCGAGCATTTTCTTGAGCCTTGTTTTTTTCAACAATGGGGGAATAACTATTTAAATCTTAAAATAGGTTTAAGGATACATCTATTGCAAAGCACATGTAAAGCAACTATGATAAAAACTGTTTTACACATCACATGCTTTCCACAATACTCTGTAGACTTTTAACAAACTTACATTCTGGATAGGGCGAAAAACTCAGTAGAAGGCCCCTGACCAGGTTTAGGCTGTGTAAATGCTGGATAGGCTCCCAACCCGCTCATCGTAAAGACACACTCAGACAGACGCATCCCGATGTACATACGCATGCGGAAGTTGAAGAACGACGGATACAAGTACCAGACTCTGTACGCCATCGAGCGTTCGTTGTAGAACTCGTCTGTCATGGCGTACTGAAAAATTTGTATATTAGTTATTTTTATTCACAGTCACATATTTTTTTGATCGAGATATATTACTGAACAATTATAGTCTGTTGTGATTGTATGGTTTTGATTACATCAGATGATTATATATTTATTTCAAGTATTATTGACGTGGTTTATTAATTATTATAATGTATTAGAGAAAGAATAAGAATCTTGAAATATGTGTCATAAAGATAAAATTGGATTCACTCCATTAGGTTTAACGTTTTCCAGCAACCTCAGCAACTCCAAAAATAAAGACGATCGATGGAACGATTTTTAGGTTATTACCATGTAGTTGATACTAATCCCTCAAGTAGGTGGATGTAATTTTGAAACCAGTTGTAAATTGCAATTCTAATGTTAATGTCCCTAAACTGCTTTGTAGAAACCTAAAAACTAAGTATCAATTTTAAAAACTAACCAAGTAATATTCCTAACTAAGTAATATACTTCAGATAGAGGATGCAAAATTTCTTTGTGACAAACAAATAAAAAATAAGTTAACGTAATAAATTAATACACTACACTAGGTACTGAGTGGTTATGTGATCATCTAATATTCATACTTATAGGTAGGGAACTGTTTATGACGATTAGATTAAGGTATATACAATCCTAAAATGCTATGGGAAGGGAGGGAAACAGGTCCGCGACGTAGGAAGTGGTGAAGGAAGTAGTAAAGGTGAGCGGTCCGGAGTGTGGGAACTGTTAATGACGATTAGATTAAGGTATCTACAATCTTAAAATGCAATGGGAGGGAGGGAAACAGGTCCGCGACGTAGGAAGAGGTAAAGGAAGTAGTAAAGGCGAACAGTGTGGAGTCTGGGAACTGGAAACCAATTGTAACAGTTAGATTTATGTATCTGAAATTGAAATACTGAAATGCTATGAGAAGCGATGGAAACATGTCCAAGACATAGGAAATGGTGAAAGAAGTAGTAAATGCTAGCAGTGCGGAGTGTGGGAAATGTTTGTGGCAATTAGATTAATGTATTTAAAATACTAAAATATTATGGAAAGAGATGAAAACAGGTCCACGACGTAGAAAGTAGTAAAGTTTAGCATCACAGAGTGTGGGAACCGTTTTTGGCAGTTAGATTAATGTATCTGTAATACTTAAATGCTATTAGAAGGGAAGGAAACAGGTCCATGACGTAGGAAATGGTGAAGGAAGTAGTAAAGGCTGGCATCGCAGGGTGGGGGAATGATGGTCCCCAGGTACTGTAACTTAATCCTCAAAATGAAAAAAAAAACGTAACTTAACCCTCAAACAACCGTTAATTATCAACCGTTGGCTTACCTTAAGAGGAAAGATGTAAGATGAAATGAGGAAAGCAACGGCCCAGAGAGGGACTGGCATAATCCTCTCCAACGTAGCCTCTTTGCACGGAGCCAGTTCAGAAAATGGAGCATTAAACATATCCCAGTACATGCGGTACTTGAAGTATGGTCCTGAAAAAATTGGTGACTTACAATTTTGACTGTCTAAGCTTTAGGTTACAGATTATATTTAAATCAGTATGCCCTTTATGCATTATCTAACCGATCATTCAATCGCCACTAAACAGTGAAATATTTTTCTTTATTACTGGGAAGGTTATTGTCGGATTACCATTTCTATATCAACTAAGGGCTCTGCTCTCTGATTGTTATAAAGTACAAGGGCTGTCCGTAAAGTAAGGTTCCCTTCAAGCTCCCAAAGCGGGCTGGGTAAAATGGAACCAAAGTTGAGTCCCTTACACCATCAACCTCCCCTATAGGGAAATTTGCTAATATAAACAAACAGATAAACCGTGAGAGCTGTAGACGCGGAGACGAGATCATGCAACTACTCGTCTGTAAGTTGAGAAAAATACATTTTGATAATGGCTTCCCAAAACTATAAACCAAAGACCGCTATAAACGAGACCGAATATCAGGGGTTTTAACTTACTTTATTGACTGTTTTTATACTAATACTTTATATTTTACCTGTCAGCACGCCAATGTAGCAAAACGAGTAGTGAAAAATGTCCATGAACCCAGGAGGCGCAATACGACAAACCTCCGGCTCTATGAGAGGAGAATCATCTGCAATGTCGGAGTCCTTGTTCTTTTCAGCAATTGCACTGTCATGCACTTCAAACGCCAATCCAACCAGCTGAAATGTTACGTAGATATAGACCTATTGATCATTCTTCTAGGCTACATTAATTTTTATTTTGCTTTCTAAAATTAGTCAACAATCAGTTAACAACAAGGCAAGGAATTGAATGAGTGGTTGATGCACATGCATCCATGCTCCAATACAATTGTCTGGGTAGCCAAGTAAATAGTTACCTATATTGCTCTTTCTCACCTTCAAATATGAAGGTTGCATGATTCGATTTCAGCATAGACAAAAGAATTAAATATAGATTGATAAAGTAAGTTTCCGCCATGTGCCGCTAGAGCGTGCTTAGTGTTCGTCGATTCACCGTCTGCTACCAGCACTACCACCCTTGCAAAGGAAGTGCTACCAATGTGTCAGACCCACTTTTCAATAAACTACAAAATTCTGAAATCCCGCAATTTAATAGAAAAGCCCATTTTTTATAAATCCCTGGAAATTTTTAAGACAATGAAAAACGACGGGACAAACTCCTAAGACATAAGTCGTTTATTCAGCAAAATTAACATAAAATGCATTAGCTACGTCAAAAATATAATTAAATATATACATAAACTAAAAAAATCTCTTATCTAAATTAAAACTGTCAACTATGCTACTGTATTTACACTACCAGTTCTAGGGCAAAGAAACTCACAAATGCTGCAGAAGGTTGTAGTTATCCAGCAAAGAATTCTTTAGTCTTTTCAGATATCTATTTAAATCCTGTTCGGTCTTTAGGGTAGGATGAAGGTTATTAAAAAGCTTAACGGCATTGTATTGAAAATTCTTTTGTAAGAATGACGTTGAGTGTGAATTGGATTATATTATATGACTTTTTAATTTGTCTGGAAAACATATCTCAAAATAGTACTTAAACTGACTTATGCATTGTGTTTATTCTCTGTTTTTGTCCCTTGGAACACCTCATCCCACTTTTCACTTTTTAGATAATATTTAAGCCTTTGAATATCAGAGGTATAGAAACTCTGTCCTTACTTCAACTTGACTTGCCTATCATTGTTCGATAAACTTATGTTTGTTGTTATAGTCTGGGCACTGTAGTCAGACAATATAGTCTTAATAGCTTCACTCTTTGTGCTATCGTGATCGTTTGCAAAGATGTGATCAATTAAGGTGTGTGATCCTGAGGCTTCTCTTGTATACAAGTGGATAGTGTTGTACAGACCAAATGTCACCATGAGCTCAGTGAATTTACTACCAGAAAAGCTGTCAATAGATAGATCAATATTCAAGTCTCCAAGAACAAAAACCTTGTTGTGCTTAGCTGCATATTTATTTCAACAGTCACTCGTATATTCAAAGAAATTATCATAGTGACCTGATGGCGGTCTGTAGCCCGCTACAATAAGTATTTTACTTTTTTTACTTTTTTATGTTTCCAAGACCAAAGCTAATAAGTCTTTATTCCCAGATTGCAGGAGCGGTGATGTCCACAAACCTTGGAATATGGTCACGATATTACCGCGATAAAATTATCATTGATAGGTGATGTCACGGTCAAATTATGCGAGGAGTCGGACTAGCCACAGGTCAGATTACAGTTCAACGGTACACAAAAATATTTGAAAATACAACTTACCTTAAGTGTAAGAATCATTTGTATAAGATTTGTGTGAGACGGTGGATAAGGTATTCCGAAATATTCCGTGGTTCGGAAGAATATCAAATAAGTAAACGTGAATGCAAAACTGTAGACATGGATGGATCTGAAAAATTTTTAGTTAATATTAGTCTTTTACAATTGAATTTGAATAAGACTGTTTGTTAAGTGACTTTGTTACTTGTAGCCCTACCATTGATTAAATACAAACTATACATTAGTCCATTCACAAAATGTAGGCAGTTTAAGGGGAGGGTCTCCTGGGTTCTACCACCACTTTCTTAGGTTAATGTAAACAGTGTGTCAACCGTGAACTGATCACCTGTTGACTGTTGTTTGAAAGTTAGAGTGGAGCGGATGGGATCGTTTCCCCTCAAGTCGCCTAAGTTAACTTTTGTGAACAGAGTATAGTTGAGTAGGCCTATATTAGTAACTAAGTAAATAAACCATGCAGCAACAAAAGTAACAATACAGTACCTGGTAACTTTACCAATAAGTTACATAAGAAAGATAGATTCAAAATAATGAATTTCTTTAAATAACTAGCAGAATAAATAACAGACTACTTATAATCAACATGAACAAAACAACAGCTGGATATTATTACAACTGCACATTTAAAGAAACTTTAGGCCTGATTAAAAATACTGTCCTGACTTCAACGTGAAATGAAACCTTGATGTAAACTGTGCATATACCGTCCCATATGTGATACATAGCTTGAAACACTACTTGGTCGGGTTCATGAAGTCTTTGCCCATAAGTTAATTTGTTGATCAAGAAGTGATTAGCTTATTTAGAACCAAGTTAAAAATAACCTATAATTGGCCTAACATTTTTATAAAAAATGTGTGAATCATAAAAAACACTGATCATAGGCCTACTACGGTCTACAACAAATTATTTGATCAATTTCGGGCTTAGGGACCCACTGAAACTAATTAGGCCTAAATTATAAACTTACTAGCTACCTTTTGTTTCCATATAAGATGATGAGTGAGTTGACCAAGACAGTAAACAAGGGATGTAATATGTGTCTGCCTGAAGCAATAAATACAATTGTAAAACCAAAAGCAGTAGCTACCCATTTTCTACATTCTTTATCTTTTATCTGTCTCAAGAAGTGACCGAATCCTATGCAGGAAAATAACAATGATAGATAAACAATATCGTCCCATTCCATTTTGAAGTTAAAAAAACCCTAAAAACAATAAAGAACGTGATTTGTTTATCGGCTAGTATAGATGTTCAAGCAAACAGTCAATGACACTCGTTATTGAGAAACTTGCGAATGGAATATTCAATCAAGTAACATTAGGTTTTCGTATGTTTACATTTACATCACATCAAGTCCAAAAGACAACCATATACTACTGGAAAGTGGAATTAATTGGATGGAAATGGAATTAAAAAAACACTGCAGACGACAGACAGATTATAAAAACCAGCTGATGTGTCAAGTACCAACTGCTTAAGATTCATTTAACTCTTGAGGTTATTATATGTTGTGGTTAACTATATGGTCAAACTCATATGAACTAGTTTGATCATAGATAAAACATACTCCCTTAGTAGATTTCTCATCCTTATGGAACAGCTGAAGCCAATTTTATTGTTAGTTCTGTACGGTTTTCTGTAGAGGTCGTGTTTTGTTTACAATTTGTTTCCCGTTATTACAGCCATTTAAAACCTCGTTTAGCCAAATAATACGGTCTAATCATAAACAATAACTTGTCCCCTAGTTATATAACCAAACAGTAAAGCACAAATCAAGAAATTAACCCTAAAATAATAGAAACTAAATTTCGTCTAGTGTCGCGCCCAGTGTAGCGTACATGAACTAGACATGAAAAACGAGCTTCAAAATTTACAATGGGATGAAAAGTCTACTTGTGTTGGTTAGTCTATGGTTTGATGTTTCAAGTTACTACTGTAGCTTTAAGTTCTGGACTTAAATGTTCTCTTATAGTTAAAAGTGGTGATTTGTAGCACGGCCACCTTTAAATATAGTCCGCGGCCTGGTAGAATTGGCAACGTCGCAAGTGATGTTGTTTAGTGACAGACGTCCCATAAGATAACATATTAGACAGGTGACATCAGCTCATTAATTCGCACTTTATTGATTTAAATTTAAATTTATGAACATAACTTTATTGAAGTATTGAAAATAAAACATACAGAATTGAAAACCAAAACAATATGAAATCTATATCTTTACATTTTTAAGCGGATTCAATATTGTCATAGGCCAGTAACCAATTTTTCGTAAAACACAAATACCATTAGCTGCTTCCATACAAAGCAGCTGTTACAACACCACTTACGACGTTGCCACTTCGAAGGCCGGTGTTAAAGGCGGCCGTGCTTGTAGCTTGTAATTTCCATATAAGATTTCTATTGGGCGATTGCAGATTTTTAAAATTATAATAGTTTGTAGTTTATTATAAAGCATGTTCTGTACTTTTACATGTAAAACATTAATACTATATCATAAAATATTTATAAAATAGTACCGGTAGTTCCATAAAATAATTTGCAATCCACGAACCCTACTTGTGACGTTGTCAATTCTACCAGGCCGTGGCCTGGAGTTAAGGGCGGCCGTGGTCAGCACCCTAGTAGCATAGATAAAACATACTAGTAGGCAGTGTTGGGGAAGCTACTTTTAAAATGTAGCTAGCTACAACTACAGCTACAATGAAATGTAGCTACAGCTACAATTTTAGCTACTTTTCCAAAGACGTTACTTTTTATTCCACGCACATTACGTGAATGTAAAATTAATTGCAACTACATTTACATATTGAACAAACATTAAAAGAAAAGTCAGTATTGTATCTAACATTACTTGGAAAACAAATTATTCCTAGATTGTATTTAATTTGTTGGCATTATAAACATAACATTACAACAACAGAACCAAATAGTTGGGTGTCCCATCATATTTAGTAGGCTACTTATTTTTAAATATTGCATTATTTTTAAGCATCTTAAATGTAAATTTCATTAAGTTCAAAGGACATACATCCAAACTATATTTTAAAAGCTAATTTTATTTCTTTAATATAGATTCATTTATAGTATAGATTTCTTATATCATCAATTAAGACCAATAATAAAACTGTAAAACGATTATTTAAAAATACTTTTTGTGTTACAGAGCCTAGCCTACTGAAATTGGAGTTTATTGCCTTTTTTTACTTTTAATGTTAAAAACGACGTTGCTATAACTTTTAACCATAGTGATAAGTTACTTGTTCTATGAATAACACTTTTCAATGTCAAGAAATCGTCCTTTATTGTCATTATGCATAGGGCAAATTTTGCTTCAACCTTAGTTGGTACAGAAAACAGTATATTCAGCAACTTATCCTGAAATCGGCTTTTAATTTAAACATGTTGAAATTTGTAAAGTAAAAATAACATGTAGGCCTACTTGGCTATGTAACAAGTTGGCTATAGTAGGCTTGTTCTTGCAAGGACTAAACAGATATATTCCTAATAATTGAACTTGGAACTTTTGGTATTCGTCTTAAACCATAGTATAGCCTAGGAAAAGTCCTATACAAGAGCTGTTAGCAGGAGCAAACTATGCTATTTTTTCAATGTAAGTTTCATGTTATATGGAGATTTTTTCGTTACAATTATCATGTAGTCTAGGCATATCTTAAATCTCATCAGGTAATTTCCTCCTTGTTAATTTAGTAAACCCTTGAAAAGTCTTCGTAATCTAACTAAGGAAGGGCTTGTGATGATTGTGAACCACAATCAACAGCTGAAGCAAAGGTTGATTGACCAGCTTTCTCATTATTTTAAGGTTTAGTGTTTGTTTCCATTAAAACCCAAGTTGAAACACTATTGATATAATAAAGAAACTAAATTGATTACTAATTTCCCTGTCAATCACTTACAAGCATTCAATAGCTTCTCTTGTCACCGGTAACGTTTAAACGTCGTCTGCATCTAGCCATCTAGCGATTTTATTTTATCTGACAGTAATCATAGTATAGAGTAGTAAATTAAGGAAATGAGAGCCAAAAATGTGGATAACACTCATTTAACGGCCTCCATGTCCACACAACGTTGTAATAGGGAATGAAACGGCTGCAACCAGCTGTATGAAGCCAAGAAAGTAGGCCTAATTTTTTTGAAAATCTCAGTTCTCAGTTTGAAAGAGGTTGTTTCACGTAAGGATGAGGTTATGATAAAACTCACTATCTCAAACATTGTTAATGTAGCGAGAAAAGTAGCTTAAATTCCGCTACAACTACTTTAAAAATGTAGCTAGCTACAGCTAAAGCTACAAAATCTTAAAAGTAGCGTAGCTACAGCTAACGCTACAAAAAAAGTAGCGCGCTACTGTAGCGTCGCTACTAGTAGCGCGCTACTTCCCAACACTGCTAGTAGGTACAACACCTAATAGTAGCACCCCTTTGCAACAACAGGGTTTCCACCGACCTATAAATCCAGGAACTATATGAGTGAATTTTGTATTCCTACCTAGAATTCACAATTTACCGCTACAACAGTGACATTTCCATGACCGTGGGAGGCGATAATATGTTAACACACGGCCACGAGTGATGATCAGAATTTTGCCACGATCGTAGAAGACGATAGCGTCGGCTGCTAGACTTTTTCAAAATTAAAACTTAATTTCTAAAAAAACTGGGACCCTAAACTAAAATTATATGGCTTCGACATTCCCTCGTTCTCAAAATTATCTTTCTTTCAACACAAAAATCATGAAAATCCATCGAGTGGTTGATTCAGAATCGTGAAATAAAAAAACACTGTTTCGTTTTAATATTATAGAAGATACTATGCTATTATAATTTTACTAAAAAACACAATTTATTAGTTTCCTTGTAGCAGCAAACCTAGGTACTTTTAAACCTAATGCTATTTAAATAGATTTTATTGAAAATCAATTCAGACAAATGGAAATTCGATCAGTCGGCAGGTTTGCTGTGGTGGGGTATCTATAGTCTTTTAGTCGATGGGAATAATGATTTGTACAGATGTTTAGAGGTAGTATAGTCATTGACTTTATATCTATAGCGTAAAATATCGTACGTCACTCGTCCAAAATGTGTACCGGTCTCGTATGGTAATATCGCACTCAACTTCACCTAGCACGGGAACGACCACACTCGTCCGGTAAACCACATTTTGAGGACTAAGCTAATAACGTAATATATACTATTACGACTAGGTGAATGCCTTTTGCAGCACAAAAAAGTTTCCTAATTTATTAAATTTCTTTTGTCACAACTGAGTAAATCCATTCTTACATGAGTTTTAATGTAAATTTACACCATAAGAACTCAAAGGCAGAATGTCACGAAATTTTGGTGTATCATATAATTTTGCAACCACTCATAGACTCTATGGAAAAATAAAACTCACCCTTATAAGACTCCCACAACCCCACACCCCTCTTCGATTAACTAATTACCCCTCCTCCCACTATGAAGTATGAACCCCTCCCGAAAGCTCTCTGCTTCACTTCTCGTTTTCTCTCCTCCTTCCACCATCTTTTTTAGTTCACGGTTTTGTGGTTTGGGTTGAGGCAGGTGTTGGTCTGTCCTGTTCTGGTTCTGTTGTTGTGATTTGTGATTGTATTTATGTGCGGGAAACAATTATTGTAGAGTTTTTGTGTAGCGTCTGTTTGAAAATTATATTCAAGGTTTTCGTAAAAATGGTAAGAATAAAGAAATTGTCAAACTTGCCTTTAAAAAACAGACTAGTTAATCAATCGTCTGTTAAACTTACTACAATAAATTGGCCACTCAATTTTAAATTGATTGTTTAGGCATCATAGCCTAGAAAATTTGTATAACTGCATTCGTGCATTCTTAATAATGTTGATTACATGTACAATTATGGCAATAAGTACTTAGGAGGCCTAGGCCTATGCCTAAATTGTTTAAGTTAAGTGTTTAATTTTGTTCCACAAAGAAAGGATACAGAAAAAGATAAAAATATAGGCATAAACTTTAGCCTTCTGCTGAATGCTTAAAAGTATCAATTAGGCCTATTGATGGATTTATTGAATTTATAAAAGTACCTAAAAAGTGTAGACTAATAACCATTCTATAAACTAACTTAAGGGGGGCTTGTAAACATAGTAACTTAAGTAGGGACCATTGTCCTGGTATTAACCATCGATGTTCCGATAATATCGTCGCTAAAACATCAATGGTTTTTTTTAATTATGAGTTTTTTGTTGCTGTTCTCTGCCTCCTGCTAATTAAGTTAGGTAGGTAACATAACTTATAAGTTAGCCATTTAACTTTTAAAAACTAGTGTAGGCCCTACCTGTTGCTCGAATTTGAGCAATTGCGAAGCATTACAGGCGACTCACGAAGATTATGGAAATACTCACGATCTACACAACAGTTAGATATAGGCAACCCAATCAAAATCTTTTGTAAATATCTTGTCTTTTCTCAAAAAGCTGATCTTGTTTTTTAGTGTTTCTACAAATTTTTCCCTCTCATAGCCGCATTAGGTTGTCTATAATAACGGTTATATATGGAAAAAAAAACATTACAGTAGGCCTATTTCTTTTCTTCTACTTGGTTGTGTTCTATGACTTTTTCTATGTTTCCATTGTTTTCAAATCGGTTATTTCAATGATTGCTCAAGAAATGTAGCATATTGTTAACCCTCCGAGTGTCCACAGTTTAGGCCTTTTTTTTTTTTTTTTTTTTAACCCTCCGAGTGTCACGCGTCATAAAAACGACGCACAACACACTTTGTGTAGGGTCACGCGTCGCTTTTAAGACGCACAAACATCGTTTACGGCGAAGGCTCTATGACTGACTGAATCGGATTGAACTGGATCCAGTTAGGTATCGTTCTTTCCGTAATATTCTAAGCTTTCTCCAGAGGTCTGTCTCTAAGCGCTATTCATTTTAGTTCCGAAAATATTGTAGCAGACAGCTGACGTGCGTGTATTTGTATTGTAAACAGCTAGGTTCCCCCGGACCGATGACTGATGTGTTTTATTACGTTTATCATTGTTTTAGTGTTAAAAATCAAAAGTAGTGATATACGTGGTGCATTATAAGAAGATTTAAGTGGTTTTGAAGTGCTGGTTGATGATCCTGAAGAAGTAGGTAGTGATATTGATGTAAATTATCAGCCAGATTCCTAGCTATGGTTAGGCTATGCATTCTTAGCTAAACGCTATGTACTGAAATCCGTTTTTCGCTCATAACTTATTTATTTGATAACTTACCTCGCTATATGATTATATATTTGTAATCCTCATTAAATTTAGAACAAAGTGGCATTTTCAAATATTTATAGGCCTATAATTTATACAATTTCATTGAGCGCGAACTTATTTTTTTTTTGAAAATTTTCGAAATTATATTTTTTTTTACCTAAAAATTTTTTTTTGAAAAAATGTTCCTTATGTTTTATATATAATATTGAAGCCCATGATTTTCCAAACAAAATGGTATATAGAACATTAGAATTAACATTGTTTTAAGCTTCTCAGATCCGTTTTAATAAAACCTTGCAAAGGGGCCAAAAATAGGTGGACATAAAGGCCTAAACTATGGACACTCGGAGGGTTAATAGAGGGCCAGGCTTCAAGTAACCATGGGATTGCAACGCAGCTAGAACAGCTTATTGTGCACCCTCATTCACAGGTCCTCATTCTTTGTCAAATCCCAGGTCCTTTGTGAACCGTGAGATCCTTTTGACAATGGTGACCCGTTCTTCCCTTTGATCTCCAGTCGATAGGCCAAGGGATCTCATGCGCAGACCTTGTAGGGCTGGGCACATAAATATCACGTGGAATGCTGTCTCCTCCTCCTCTCCACATTTCCTACATAAGAGGCTTTCAACTTGAATTCCCATCTTGTGTAAATGTCCACGGAATACCCAATGGCCGCTAATAAAGCCAACCACCTTCCGCAGGGTCTTCTTACTCAGCCCAAGGGCTTCTGCCGCTATCGCACCTGTAGGTGCCTTCAGCATTCTCTTTGACTGTACATTTCCTTCTGTTCTTTTCCAGTTCCTTTGATGTTCTATGCCCATCCACTGGCGAACAGCTCTCCGTGCTGTGTTGTAAGCAATACCACACGTCGGCTCTGGACCCATGAGCGGGCTTTCAGCTCCTTTGTTTGCCCACTTGTCAGCTCCCTCTTTGCCAGCAATACCTTTGTGCCCTGGAACCCAACTAAGGATGATCCTGTTGGTCTTTCCCAGGGCTTTCATGGCTTGATGACAGTCCCATAGGCCCTACAGCCTTGGAGGTAAAGTCGAAACTGTCAAGTGCCATTAGTGCTGCTTTGCTGTCTGAGTTCATGTATATAGTGTGGCCTATAAGACCGCGCTTCAAACACACTCTCGCACACTCAGACAGGGCCACCACTTCTGCCTGGAATACAGTGGCCATTTTTCCCAAACTTACGCATAACTGCACCTTGGGTCTGACTCCATATATTCCAGCCCCCGTGCCCGTTGGCTTTTTTGAGCCATCCGTATACCAGGTGATCCCCCTTTTCATGAATTCAGGTTCACCCTTATCCCAGGCATCCCTGTCAACAATGTTGACATTGTATGGTTTTTCTAGATCTGTGATCTTCACCATCCTGTCTGGTAGCATTTCCAAGGAGTTCTTTTGCACCTTGTCTACAATTCTTGTGTGCTCACTGGAGGCATTATACTTCCAGTTGCCACTACAAGCCATTCTGTAGGATGCCATCCTTGCCTCTCCTTTCACAATGATGTCGAGAGGTGGCAGGTTTAGCACTACTTCCAGGGCTGCAGTTGGAGTGCCTCTCATGGCTCCTGTGATGCTAAGGCATGCTACTCGCTGGATCTTTTGTAGTCTCTTTACAGTGGTAGTTTGCATTACCTTGGTCCACCAGACCACCGAGCCATACACCATCATCGGTCTTGCGACCCTAGTGTATAGCCAGTTAGTCATTTGTGGACTTAGACCCCAGGTCTTCCCAACAGCCCGCCTCATCATCATAAGTGTGGTCTGAGAACGTTGCGTTATATGTGCCAAATGGCTGTTCCAGGTGAGCTTGTCGTCCAGCCTTATTCCTAGGTACTTGAACTCCCTCTTAACCTGGATCTGATTACCGAAGAGAGTTGGTACTCTAGCGATATCAACATTTCTCTTCCTTGTAAATGGTACCATTACAGTCTTCATTGGATTGACCCTCAGACCTTCCTGGTTACACCACCTCTCCACTATGGACAATGCCCTCTGCATGAGTTCCAGGCAAGTGTTCATAAATTTTCCTCTTATTAGTACAACAATATCGTCAGCATATCCTTGAGCGTACATGCCCTGTGCATTGAGCTCGGACAGGAGATCGTCAACCACCAGATTCCACAGATTTGGTGACAAGACGCCACCCTGTGGACACCCTCTTTGGGCTTTGACCTCTCTCACCGTCCCACACAGAGAAGCTTGCGCTCTCCTACTTTCGAGCATGTTGCCTATCCACCTCACTACAGTGCTTTCCACATTTCTTGACACCAGCTTTGATACAATAGAGCGAGTACTGGTGTTGTCAAAAGCTCCTTCTATATCAAGAAATGCAGCCACCGCTATTTCCTTGTTCGAGATAGCACTTTCAATCTTACTAACCAGCGCATGCAGGGCTGTTTCGCATGACTTTCCCTTCTGGTAGGCATGTTGGTTCGGATGCAAAGGATGGCTTACCAAGACCCTATCCTTTATTCGTCTATCCACTAATTTCTCCATGGTCTTCAGGAGAAACGATGTAAGGCTGATTGGTCTGAAAGCCTTGGGCACAGCATATGTATCCCTTCCGGGCTTCGGTATGAATACCACCCTTGAGGTCCTCCATGCTGTTGGTATAACTCCACTGGCTAAGCTGGTCCTGAAAAGACGCACCAAGGGGAGTATCAACTGGTCCCCACCTTCCTGCAAAAACCCAGGATAGATGCCATCGGTACCAGGAGCTTTAAATGGTTGAATTGCCCTAAGCGCCCATTTGATACCGTTATAGGTAATCACAGCCCTAGCGCAGGCCCAATCTTCTCTTACCGTCCGCACCCTAGTCTCTCTTTCTATCTCCACCTGGACTGTGCTCTGCGGTTGTAAGGATCCTGGGAAGTGAGCGCTCAAAAGGCTCTCCAGCACTTCTTCTGGGCCGTCTGTATATGTACCATCCTCCTTAAGCATTGTTCCTAAAGGATTAGCTTGACCTCGAGCTAGTACCCTATGAAGCTTTGCACATTCAGAAACACTCTCCATGTTCTGACAGAATTCTCTCCATGACTCTTTCTTAGCTCTTCTAATTGTCCTATTGTAAACAGTGAGCATCTCTGAGTAGTTGTTCCAATTTCCTGTACGTTTTGCCACATTATACAGTCTGCGAACCTTCCTCCTCAGAGCTTCTAGCCCCCTATTCCACCAGCAGGCTTGCCTAGACATGTTCTTTACAGTCTCTGGGCACGCTTCTTGGTATGAGCTTAGTATGGCCGCATTTAGAGAATTCGCCATACTCTCCACCCCATGCCCTTCTGTGTCTTTTAATTGTCTTAGTCTGTCCCCTAGCACCTCTCGATACTGGTTCCAGTCTGTCCTTCTAACGTTCCTATAGGTCTCTTTTACACAGATCGAACCTATAGTGAATTCAATGTAGCTGTGATCTGACGCTGAGTGATCATCAGATACCCCCCATTTTACAACCTTTG